ATACATTTGGCACGTTTAAGGTAAGTAGATAACCCTCAGAACGAGAAACTCCAGAACAGGATCAATCTAACGGATCTTGCGCCTTAATTTGTAAGTGTTTTGTATTGAATTTCACTCGAAGATTTACCTAATTTGAAAAATTAGAACCTTGTAGTTCGGCAAACTTTTATATCAACATCGGAATAAACTTAATGCTTCAAATACACGTAAACAACAAAACATTTAACTTTTGACATGAAATGATTACTAATATTTCTTATATTTAATTATCATACCTAAAAATATTAGTCCGTATCCCTCTAGTAGACCTTACGTCATCACCAATATCATAAACCTGAACTGCTTGTTCCAATTCACGAAAGTACATACTTAATATGCATACTATGATACGTAATAATCATTGAAACATCCTTTTGTAACACCCCGCTGCTGAATTTGTATTTTTTTGAGACTTCAACATTCACAATTCTGACTGGCTTGCTTTCTCCAATGGTGCAGGAAGAAGTGCCGAAACCTTTGTTATTAATGATCTTAGTCAACTCATTCCATTCGATTTGATCATTATGGAGATGCAGCCTCTACAGTATTTGAGGACCCATCCTTCCATATCGTACAGTATATCAGATCCCTATTGTCAATCCCCCAGTTGGTAACTCAGATCACTGTCTTATCTGTTATTCATGACTACTGTATACTTCTACTATTTCCACTCCGCATAATCATTAACGTATTTTCCACTATCAAAAAGCCGATTGTGATCTACCGAAACACTTTCATGCATCTGTGCCTTGGTCATCTTAGTTCATCACTGCCTACCCCTCCTCTCCCGTTTCTAAAATTACAGACTGGATTGACCTGACCTTGGAATTACCATCATTATTCCATCTTCGATGAAACCTGGCTGTCAGTGTTTACTTACGTGGTTCAATGCACGGTGTGCCAAAGAAATCCACTTGAAGAATCAACGCTTCAAATATTGGTAATCTAACCAAACCAATGATGCAATAGTATCTTTCGTTCAAGCTCAAAGTACTTACGTCAAAACCACTAATGATGGCTCACATACGCAACAACATTTTCAATGATGGTCCCAATGCATTTTGGAAGACAGCCAAAGCCGTCTCTATTAATTTCCCAAACTCTTCATTCCCCTCGCTACAAAAGTCAAATGATTCACTTGCGAGTGACCCCCACAGCAAGGTTGTTTTCTTTGCCTCAATTTTTGCTGAAAATTCCACTTTAGATGATAGAGAAAAAAAAAACCAACCTTGCTACTACCCTCCTTCAACAACAACAACAACAACAACAATTGACTGCAACACTCAATCATATGCAAACGAAATATAGGCCTACCTTACAGTAGTACTCCGTATATTCTCACAACATTACCAATAAACATCATCGTTCGTGAGAGATCGCGTTTCTTTTCTGTCTGCTCTGACTTGTGGATTAGACACAATCTTAGGAGATCTGACAATCTATTCAAGTTCAAAGTCAACAAGACAGAACAAATTGTTCTTTCTCTGACACCTAATAAAAGCTATCTTGCTGTGAAGATGAGTGAAGAACGTATTCGTATCTTTGACTCTCTTACACATCTTGGGATTAACGTTTCTTCTGACCTCAATTGGAATATCCATATTAAGAGACTGGCCAAACGAGCATCACAGAAGCTTGCCCGAAGTGAGTACTGTTATCGTGCTTAGGGTGGAGCTCCACAGTCAACTCTTGCTATTTTGGACACGATTCATTCAAAAGCAATGAGATTAATCAGCGATCCGAAAATCACCCAATTTCTTCATTGTTTTGCTCATCGACGCCGTATTATAGATCCTTCCCTATACTATCGGTACACTTTTGGTAATTGGTCTAACGAACCAATATCATACTCCTGCCCGGCAGACCTTCAACACTTCCTACTTACACTTATCGACTGTTTGCCACTCATCCTTATTCACCTCGCACCCCTTTTTTATGGAACCAAGGAAGTATAAAAATAAGATGGAACATACTACCTAGTTCTTGTATCCCCTTCTTTTAAGCCAGATGAGCTTAACCTTTCCTCTCTTTAATTTTTCTTTGTTTGGAGTCTTCATAGACTATAGGTTCGAAGTGCATTCATTGCTAATCATGAACCTTTCCAGACATATTATTTTGAAAAGTAAAGAAATAAAAATAATATACATATTAACACATTAATATGTACTTTTGTATGTTTTCTTTTTTTGTTTTTTTCCTGGAAATTGAATAAAATGAAATTAAATAAAAATACAGGGTAGGTACTGATACCTTATATGCAAATGAAATAAAAGCCTAGTGAGATGGATAAATTCAAAGCTGATTAAAATATTTAAATATTTTCGAGATTAGGCATTTTAGACTGATAAGTACACATCATAAAAATTAGCTGCTACTGGATATTTATGCTGGAAATAACGTTTACTTTAATCTTAGCATGCTGGAAATAAAGTTTACTTTAATCTCAGCAGACAGGGCTGCCTCATATTGTTGTATTTTGTTGCTGTTATTATTGAGCTTCCATTATCTGTTTTCTTCTCTTCTCTTTTCAATATTGTTGAACACATTTCGGTCTGTATAATCTCCCCACCACGTCACGTAATGTATCTAAATCACATTCCCGTGTTGTAATTGGCGTATAAGTACGTAGGGGAGCCTCAACGGGGATGTAAACGATTACAGGTGATTTTCAAAACGTGATGTAATCATTTAGAAGGCCACCTGTTAGCATTTGATCGTGGACATACCTTGATCTACTGGCCTTCTTACGGTAACACGTTAATCAGAAGTGTCTTAGCTTAGCGCTATTGTTCACAAAACAATGTGATAAAAACGCGCATCACACTAAAAATGATGGCACTAAATAGGATGATGACTATATAAAAATTATGATAATATTTATTATACTGATGACACGAATAAAAATAACAGTATGACATTACCGTATTATACGCAAAATAACATTCCTTTAATTTATGGAGTTTTTATTTATATAAAGATTATTTCACTTCTATGGAATTTAATAATGGTAATGTGACAACTTTACAAAATATTGGATGTATTGTTATTGTTATTCATAATTTTATATGTAGGCCTATGTTGGATGACAAATATGTTTGTAGGTACGTCGAATGTTTTGACGTAGTGTTCGATGTTAGACACACCATGGAGGTATACCTCCATGGACACACTACATGTATTCTCGGCCAGACACTTTATCTACATGTAATAGGAGGATACATTGATTGATTGCATTCATTGGGTTCATACAGAAGAGCAAAACATTCTGAGTGCCATGGTTGAAATAAACATGAAAACCAAATGAATCAAATAAATTATAATTAAAGCACGTTTCACATCAATTTGAACAGTTTTGAAAACTTAAGTTCCTTCCATCACTATAAAAAAAGAAACAGAAAAAATTTAAAGGATATTTGAACTTATAGGTAACTGATATGTAACCAATGATTGTTCAATTTTGTGAAACTAAATTTGCGGCATGACTATGCGAAGGAGTGGAAGAGGTCGCACATTATAACACGCCTATTTATGCGTCTATTTGACCAGTAAATGTCTGGGGTATTTTTGTTTCCAACAGGCAACAGGGGAGGCACTAGCCGGTGGGGGGGGGGTTCAAGGGGCAAAGGACGAAGAAAGTCATTGATCGAGTTCTTAGTCCACATATCAAGCGCCCTGAGCATCTTACATTAGATGGATATGTGCGCTATACAAAACTACACTATAATTATTATTATTACTTCCCTTTATGACTATTTCAAAAGGAGTATTTACTGTTTTTAAAAAATGTCAAATTATTTACCAGAATTTGTTTGTTACCATTTAGCTTTGTTTAGCCGACGCCACCCGACTAAACGGCCAAACACGGATGACAGGAATCATTCGGTGTGAACACCAAGGATAACCCACGAAAGTTTGAAGAAGACTTCTTTCCAATGGAATCCTTCTGGAAGTGATTGGGAAATACATACGGGAGAGAATCCCCTACTCTTTTTCGAATATTGTACTGCTTTCTTTAACGTGCACACGAGCCATAATGCACACGGGACCAACGTCTTACGTATCATCCGAAAGAAGCTGCGCTATGGTAACTTTCATTTCACAGGGCCGGATCCAGAATTTTCATACGAGGGGAGGTGGGAGGGAGGGAACAACATATTCAGAATAGATAAGTGAGAGCGCTAATTTTAATATATACCTTGAAATTGTGAAATTTAGTGGCATAGCGGGGGGGGCACGTTCCCCCCGTTTCCCCTACTGGATCCGCCCCTGTTTCAGCCCTCCAGCTGCATCACGAGAAGAGCATCAATGTGAATTGAACCAAATTGAGCCGGGGACCTAGAGATTTTCACGGTTTAGCGCACACACAGTGGCTAGGCCTACCACCTGTTTAGTCAGCTAAGCTAAGCTGCTCTCTCAAATCCTATTTCTGATCGGTGTAGGCCTGTAATTTGCACAATGGCATTTTATGGCCAAATAACCGGGTAGTCTTTCTGTATCCAAAACGGGTAAAAAGTTTCTCTTCGAAAGAATTTTTTTAAGACTCCACCTAAACCAATATTAATAATCCAGCCATTCATTTGATTCAGTAAGAGCATTAACAACCGAATATGGATCAAGTGTTCACTTAGGTCTAATTATCTTTCTGAAGAATCTTGAAACCTGAGATTTTACAGTAAGTTGAACCATAGGATCTGTGGTTGAACAAAGTGATTACGTCCTTGATATCGATGACATTACATAGACGACCAGTCAAATACAGGAAGCTCATAATATGAAGCTTAATAATCCAAAGTAAAATTGAGCAGACAGCAGAGATGTTATCATACATGACAAAGATGGATTGTGCTCAATTATCATCTTTATGCTTACCTTTTCATAAAGTTTCTTGCGACCCTCCAAATTTTGAGTGATAGCCTCGAAGTTTAAGAATCGCTATAGTCAGTATTACAGTATTCAAAATGTCAACTTATTCATTCTAGAATATTTAATTACAAAATCATTCTCATTAAAATAATTAAATACATACACGAATACAAATACCTAATAATACGAAACAAATGAAATGCTGTAGCATTATAATAGTTTACGTAATTGAACGTAATTACAGAGGTGTTTTCGATCGCAGCGTGTTGAGTGTAAATTCCAATTTCGACAATACGTTTTTTTTAATAAAAAAAATGTAATTATTATTTTATATTTACTAAGGAAACACTGCCATTTAACTATATTTTTACTAAGATATTCATAACTCATGTTTTAGGGTAAATTTCCTAATGCGCATCGTGATGTAAAGGATTAAAATTGTTATTTTTTTCCTGCTATTTATTTAATACACTTAAGTGTTTATATTTGCTCCGAATATTCAAATGAGGTATTTACAGTAAAACGATTAAAACGCTAAAATATGCTAAAACAAACAAGTGCCACCATCATATATATTATGCCTATGTGGAAAGGAGTGTTTACTGAGGCCTCATTCGTCTGATCACTACCCCACGGATCGTTCATAGCGTACTCATATCTACCACAGTAGCCCGGTGCGATGGGTTCAGCGTTAATTCCACGTCTGTAAATAATAACAACCCCAGTTATATTGACATATAATTAGCAGCGTCGTTGTGCTGAATTGCATAGGCTCATGTAGACATAGCATAAGCATTAGAGGAAAACATAATTAATCTGTGGTAGTATCTTAAGACTGCAAAAAGGTGTATAGAAAATGGAAAATGATCAAAAGTATGGTATAGACTCCTTTCATTTTTCACATGAATAATATGAAAAAAATCAATGGATGTGTGAAATCAAACTATAGGCCTATATAAATACAACAGAAAATTATTGTATTTCTTGCAATAGACAAGAAATGAAATATAGGCTAGTGACTGTCAAGTACTTGGGTTTTATGTATTATATATACATATTCTTTCGCATACATGGCGAACTCCATAACCACTTGACCATAAAGGCAATGTGGTGATTCAAGCGCAAGGTGGAATCTGTGTTTCCTTTAATCCTTTTAACGTGCCTGACGTCACGATTTTGATATAACACTAGGCTTAATATTGCCTATAGACTGCCAAAGATCTATAAGATACGCCCTTTCATGTGCATTATTTTCAGCTTGTTGGATCTCGAATGAGATACTTGTATAATAAATATTTATGTATAGGCCCCTATATAATTTTACCTAACCATACGGCATCGCTGTTGGTCCAGGCGAACGTTTGCCATGTCTACATCTCTCACATCATTAGCACTCCATAGCCGCTCTCCTATTGCAGCTGCTCTTGGCCTGAAAAAGTGAGCATATATTCACTCACTGAAATCGGTTATTATAGTAAATAAAATTGAATACACTGCATGTATAATAACATGTTTCAATTATAAAAATATAATACTATATAATAATACAATAACAATAAAATACAATACAGAGCAACGTCCCATAGAACCATGACAACTACATAGAGTGTTATATAACGCTTATATATAAATATAATACAACAGTATAAGACAGTATAATGTAATTCAATAAGTCACAAAGTCTAAAAGGAGTAAGCGTACATATTATTGTTTCGGAAACTATTATTGCTATTGCTAACTACACGGAATGAGATTACTTGAATTAAAAAATAGGATTGTACCGCGGTAAAAGGGCAATTAACGTAAAATAAATTTGCGAATAGCAATTGCCCTTATAGCGGCGTTTTATTTTATTCTGAACTGTACACGATTCATTACTGCATTTTGCACAATCACACTTTGGCTGGTGATATCGAGAATAAGCCGAGCCCGGTGGCGTGCCTACATTTCGTACTCATGTTAATCCTTTAGTGAAGGAAACTACTTCGAAAGATATACTTACACAATATGAATAAATAAATAAATAAATGAAAGAAATTTGCATTATGATTGATGTTTTATTTTACAATATAGCTACCTTAACACCTCAGTATCAAAATACAATAATTAATATATTAAGTATTTAATGCTGGAATGTTACTAGCACTTTAGTTTTACAATTGTAAATATATTGATTTTATGTAAATCATTCATAATCCTTGATCTTGCAGGAGTAGAGACATGGCTTGCATATCATACAATAGATAAAGACCACATTTTAATATTATGTAATGATGTTTACTGTCAATGCTTTAACGTTTGCTTCAATTGAATCAGTCTTAGCTAGATGTCATGATAAGTTATATTTAAATAATTTGTGGAATCTATAATGATGTTAATGATTATTGTGTCAATTTGCATTGAATTTGTCTAATCACTTAACCAGCGTTTTTGATTAGGGTCAATAAACCCTAGATTACGAGGACTAAAAACTTGTTTGCTTACCCTTGTGAAAAGAATTACTGGAGGAAGGGTGAATGTTTGCGACATCAGTGAAAATAGCTAAAGCTAGGCCTATATGACAGTTTGATCCCATCAGTCCAACTCCGGCTGATTTTAAATGATCGGATTTGATTTAGGCATCTACTTAATTTCAGTATAATAGATCAAAGCATTAGTCAGATTATTAATAAGATATTCTGAGAATTAAGCGGAATGTCGCAAGGGTTATGCACAACTGACCACATTATACTAAAATTAAGTGCAATTATTTTAAAGTACTTACGTAAACAAGATGCCTTCTGTTGATATGAAAAATCTTTTAATTCAATCAACATGGACAAATTGTCGAATAAACTAGATCAAGAACTAGTTTACTATTGTTTTACAAATTTATTATTATTATTATTCTATTATTAATACCTACCATATTCTTGGAATAACATTTCCGCCATCAACATACTCCGCCCACATACATGCTTCCCCACCAATCAGCAGCTTCTTTTGTTCAGCGGTGCCTGTCATAATTACATAACAGCTGACGTAAATTGTGATTAGAAATGCGCGTTAATTGTTAAGTGAAAAGATTAAATGGACCATGAAGTAATTAATAATTAAAATGGCGATTATATTTGTACAGGTGTATAAGGAATTATCACGTGCCGTTCATAACCATACGAATGTTACACGTCAAATCGACATGTTAGCTATGTTCGATTCGATGACAACCCCAAAATAGAACGGGGCCAGGTACTTGGTAGTAAAACCTTGTGCAAAAACATAGGGAAATGGGATAGCAGCAGCAGCAGATTAAGATGATAGTGAAGAAGAAGACGATGACGACGACAACAACGATGGTGATGATTATGAAGTAGAATAAGAAGAAAAAAGGAGGGGGTCGAGGAAGTAATAATATGAAAATAAAGGGAAAAAAAACGAAAATGAGAGCCAATTATCGAACACAAATCTGACAGTCCAGTAAGTACACCAGCTGATAATAATGTATGAAATATTGCAACTATTGGGGCAGTAGAATAATTTAGCCCTTGTTCATTTACAATTTACAATGTTTTTACCAATGCTATTTTATCCATCACCGTTTTAAAAATGATGTTTGTCATCAATATACAAATACCGTTGAAATCCTCAGGTTCCGTTTGATAAAAGTTTTTCCAGTCAGGACCATAGCTGATGTAGTTTAGGTACCAAGGTGCAGACAGGATTGTTTTTAGACCTAGCTTGGTTACCTTCTCGAGGCCTTCTCGATAAGGGGGAAGAATTGGATCAAGTGAAGGATCTTTCCAAACCTGTACGATCGTATCCTGGTTTACCTATTATTAAAAGACAACATGGTTATAACCAAAATAATTTTAATAACATATCTATGATGCTTGCCTTCTTATTCTGAGTTTAATTACTGTGACAGCAGAATTTTTCACTATCAAAACAAATCACTCCCTCACAAATGAGGTCCGATTGTTTGATAACCAAGTTGTTCCTTGAAATAACGTTGCCTACTTGACTGAGTATGAGATGGAGTTAAACGTGTTTTTAAATGGCAGTTGTTTCTGGCCGAGGCAGGTCCAATAGTTATATCATTGTCAACTATTAAAGCCTCTAGGTGGGTTACAGCAGTTTTATTTTCAGAGGGGGAGGGGGTCATAGGTTCTCATAGGATTACCCACACAAGAGCAAATTGGGCGTGGTCAGTCGTCGCTCTAAAACTTTCGAAAGTGGGCCAGGGGCCGAAATATATGACAATTTAGGGCTTCAAAGGCTTATTTAATCGATTTTCGGAGTCTACTAAAATGTAGAAAATATACACATTTTTTCTCCCCGACGAATTTTGGTTTTTCTCACCGACGGGGGAATAGCTCTCCAGAACGGGGAGGAGGGTGGGGGCACCACCCACTGGCGCCACCCCCGTTTCTTTTGCAACGTATACTTTTCAGTTAGGAAAGGTGAAAAATTACAAGAGACAGTATGTAGAGGACATTTTGTTTCAAATTCTCAAATGAATTTATAGTTTAATTTATTATAAGCTGCCAACAGGACAATATTAAAACACAACCACGAACTATTTAATACATTTATTGTATCAACTGAACACAGTTTACAGCTAAACCAAAACAATGGGTAACATAATCCCTGATCGACAGGCGGCGCACTTTAAACTAATTCAAGATCAAAACCACTATGTTATCGCGGTGATATTGTTATCATCAATAGAATCCTGTATTTATGTATTTATATTTCAAATCAGTGACAACTTAAATTATACGACGAATATATTGAGCTTATATTTTATTGAAAATGATTACGGACTTATCACTTTCGAAATCACTAGTAGGGCCTAGGCCTAGTAAAACAGTGTAGCTTAGATCATGGACCTTAATAAGTCGATGCTTAGATGATCGCGTTGTTGTACCAGTATGTAAACAAGTGGTATTTTTGGGAGATTAAGATGCTGGATTGCACGCTCGGTTCACCCAAACTCGTATTTTATTAACGATTTTACAATTAACGATTCAAACACAAAATGTTTGTGATGTTATGGTATCATATTGCAAATATTAAATTAAAAGTATTTTATTTTACGGTCAGTCGCGAGGGACCTAAGCTGTGATAATGGTAAAAGATAAAATGGTATATCGACTTACGGTGACATTGTTATCAATAGGGTCCTGCCAAATAATGTATTTAGCTTTCAAATCAGTAATGATTTGAAAAAGTTTGGTTTGATAAAGCTCTTCAAGGCTACTATAGTCTTCATTCCAACTTTTATCGTTCATGAATGCTTGTATTTCTGGATTACTTTTCCTGTAGTAAAACATATTTTTAATTTAAACACGTCAGAACACATAACCTACTTGTCTATACAATTACAAATAGTAATATATTAAGCATATAATGATATATATATATATAATAAATAAATAAATATAAATAAATAAAATAACTATTATATATATATACTGTCTCTTATACACATCTAGATGTGTATAAGAGACAGATTGCTAACTATACGGAATGAGAATAC